GCCAGGGGAGATGGGGGTCGTCAAACCTTGATGGAAAAAACAGACTTTCCTTTTTGCTGTCCTAATTACTTTGATCTATCACTTCGGGTTTCGTGCATAAGCGAACATAAACATGCACATACAAATACAGATACAGACACACTCACATGCATAGAAGTTGACATATAACTTTATCTAACCAAATAACCTTATACTCGATCAAAGAGGTCAGATGTAGAGTAGATATGCCACTTTTTAGGGATTTGCCGGTGAGTTTTCTTGACTCGTTAGCTTGAATTTTGTTGTGACGATGTATGTATACCACTTTTTAGGGATTTGCCGGTGAGTTTTCTTGACTCGCAAGCCTGAATTTTGTTGTGATGATGTTATATATCACTTTTTAGGGATTTGCCGGTGAGTTTTCTTGACTCGTAAGCTTGAATTTTGTTGTGACGATGTTACCTCACTCTGATGATGTCCGTCATATGACGGACGAAAGCTTAGCACGTTCTGACGATGTTACCTCGCTCTGATGATGTCCGTCATATGACGGACGAAAGCTCAGCACGTGTTCACCGGAAGAGGAGATTGCCTCGGAAACAGCTTCAGCATGAATCTTCCCGTAAAGCCAATCGACAGCTGGTCAAGAGGAATCCGCCGTCGTCTTCTGGTGAAACCGATCTTCGAATCTCTTCACCCAACACTTCTACTCGAAATGGAAGTAAGCTTAACAATTATGAAACAAGAGATTCCTCGAAACCCAACTTTTCTTCATATAAGATGGTATTGTTTAGCCTCAAATGAATGATTAAGAGTTACTCCAAATTCTGACCGAGTGGCACGTTAAATTGAATGTCAATTTGTAATTAGGGTAAAAATTAATGGAGTTTTTATAAATCAAAAGGCGCCAGTCCGCGCCTTACTAGGAAATAATAACATCAAAATATGCAAGTCCCTCATTAAAATTCGAAATACAAAAACTTCCGGGAAAAAATGACTTAACCAGGACCAATAAAAAATGGTGGCTACTTGAATATGGTAGCCTCGGACCATATCATATCTACTCTATCGCTTGATATTCCCTTTTAATCCGGACGTCGGATCCACAACACCTAAAGGAAAGAAATCTAATTGTGCATTAACAACACAAATTAACAGCAAAGTCAAGAGTGAGCGATGAACCTAAGAAAAGAAAAATGTTGGCCAAGTGACTATTAATTTAAGATATATTTGTATAACCAAGACATACCTAAAATAGCTAAGGGGTCTTGAGGAAGCGATCTTGAATTCTAGAAGGAAATGGGTGATAAACGTCCACATATTACTCACGTATATGGTAATGAGACCGACTTAGCCATTGAACTGCTTTATTTGCCGCTGATAAGGTTCAACAAAGCCGGGCACGATCTTACACACACACTGCGCAGATGTGGTCAATAATTGTGACGGTCAGAATCCGGTACTCTAAGTGTGAAATGTGATGCTGTTACAGTAAAACTATAAGTCTAAGATCGTCATCATTGGTAAATATTGAAGCTGAAAGAGCAATGTAGGCTCTAAAGCTCAAGGAATCGAAAGAATTGATGGAGGTTCAGGCCTTACCCTAAGTATACGTAGAAGAGTGATGATTCCGCATACTATAGTTTTCAGTGGACTCTAAGCGAATACTAATATTATGAAGAATTAGCATAATGGTGGGCGAAAACACGCGATACAAAAATATGGGTAGACCCCTCGACCGAGTAGGCAAGCTAGACAATGGGGTATTCGGGCCTGATATAAAGAATGTGCAGCTCTAGAAACATTTCGTCTCGACCATACTAGTAATTAGGGTAGGCTAAAGTTAGTCACGAAAGGGTGCAAAAGATTCTGGAAAGGGCTAAAACG